CTGTAATTTGCTCCAAAATTGGCGGGCCTACAGCTTTGCTGGCGGGCCTGCAGCTTTTAGAAGCTATATAGGCCCTGCAGGCCTACAGCTTTTTCTGCTCAGTGGCAAACACTGATTGACGTTAGTATTACGAACTAGAATGCATTCGTTATTTGCAATCAAAAGTTTCTATTTGTTAAATGTGATGTTCTTTCACTACAACATGTCGCCAGATTTGTTCTCAACTCACACATTAACTTCTCCGAGTCCAACTTTAATAGCGCAATCTACACAATAAATGACACTCTACGACATTCTGCACAGCAGTAGGCACGAGAATTAAGACGAGTGAAAATTAACTGCCCCGCACTCGCAGGTCATTAGTATTAGAAAATGTGAAAATTTCCGGAAACATTTTTGCAGCGTGACAGAGAACAGACCACTATTAAATCTTCCATAGGATCCTATACTTAAGAATTGAATTTCAGGAGCTGAAAAATAGTATTTCGGCCGTTTTCGGCCGAGTGGCAATATTAAAGCTAGGTAGCCATGTACTTCAGCTGTGCACATTAGAGTTATGACATATTATCAGGAGATTATGTTGTCCGGCGTTTAAAAAAAAAATCGCGAATTTACTAATCGACACTACGTGTGTGCCTGAAAAACAGTCGCGCAGACGAATGGGAGCCATACATTGAAAGAATTCGTTTTAAATTACCAGTAACCATCCACCCATTTTCATGTGCATACCATAGACTGGTACCCGGTCCCACCTATCGGCTTAGGTATCACCGCTCCCACCCATCCCCGCTCCCACCCATCGAGTAATCGAGGTGGGAGCGAATACCAGTCTAGTGCATGCCATTGACACACACGATAGATACTAACCCAAGTAGTCTCTTGGGTTAGTATCTATGCACACACGATAGCCAGCCTAAATAATGCAGCCCCAAAACATCGCTTCAGCTTTAGTGCAGAAGCTGCGGGCACTCCGATTGGTCGGCCGATGACGCGTCACATTCTCTAACCTATGACCTGTTCAGATACAGCGGGATGTTTGGATCAAGATTTGTATTAACTGCAGTGTTTAGGAAAAAATCGAGTTGCTTTTTTAATGCACATTTCTGTCAGTCCAAAGTTTTTGCACATCTGCGTTATATGTCTTCAGGAAAGGTAGGTTTCGCCAATCTGGTGATTTTTAACGTTGATATGCCGTATTATGCGTAACAAAATATTTCTATTTAGGTAGTACTACTAGTAGCACAGTCACAGTGACACTACTCACGGTTCAAGGATAGAGAACATGCATGGGTCCCAATAAAACCAATGTCATTTACATCAATATAAATATAATGCCCAATGGTTCAAGGATAGAGAACATCATCATGGGTCCCAATAAAACCAATGTCATTTACATCAATATAAATATAATATTATATCAATATAATAGGTTAGGGTTAGGGTTAGCGAAACCGAGCGAAGTCCAGCGAAACGAAGCGAACATGGCCCTGCTGTGTATTTCGCTTGCTCGCGCAACGAAGTCCAGCGAAATGAAGCGAACATACCCCAGTCTCAAAATTGCTTGCTCCCTCTATATACCCTATATAACCCCCTTGATATCTATTTCATATCGATGCACTCCCCTTGATATCTA